TATCCTCCGCTAATTGTATAACATTACCACTCCCCATTATAATGGATCCATATTCGTATAGACAGCCACTTTACACAACGTTAAAAGTTTTATTTTTATTATATTTGTTTCTTAGGTTTTCACGCACATCACTCATTAAATAAAACTAGTTTCAACGGGTTAGATGCACTGATTTTATTTATTTATTGACGTTTCGCATCCTTTACAGGATGCGTCGTCTGAATAATGGTTTTTTATTTAATTTATATTTATTGTTTAAACTAAAACCTTACTCAATAACCGATACATATTTAAGAATACCTGAAATAGTTAAGCTAATATTTTGGAAATTATTCCTATACATGCTCATATGTTGTTGTCGATTCTGGCACGATTCTCTAAGCGTACAACAAAAAGAGATTGCTCAGCTTCCATACATGTTTGGCCTAAAGACCAATAATCATGAAAAATTGTTTCCTAGATTCGAAATTATATATAAATTACTGTAGAAACGAATATTATTGACGGACACCCCTGAGAACTTCTATAAACCATATACACTGAACATATTAAAATAATAGAAAACAAATAAGTTATATAGTAAACTAGGGAATTCATTCCAAGTACCGAAATTATGGATTAGATTCAGGTATATAGAGCATGTAGATTAACAGATACTTGCCTGTTTTTAAAGTTAATGCATAAGAGTAACTTGACAGAAACTCTGTGATGATTGTGAATGAGCCACAGATTAGAGAGAATTTTTAAACTCTCGTTAACCAAAGAAAGCTAAGAGATTTAGAGGTTCTATAGCCATATATTCAGTAGCTTCATTATTTTTGTTATGTTTTTAAGATAACCATATTTTAGATATTTAGTGTATCACACCTTATAATTTTATTTATTTATAGACAGGGAACGTAGGCCCATAGATAGATACCTTAAAGTCTAACATATATACAGATTATAATGTGTTTATGGAGGTGTTTGGCGAAAAATGTATGGCAATAGACTTTATGATGTCGCCTACCATCTATAATAATTGTCTGAGCACATTTGCATCTAGTGAAAATGATAATATAGTTGTGGATATTAATACCACAGTGTAATAAAAAAAATGATTTGGTATTTCGATCTTTACATTTACAAAATAGATTTGTTTTTATGTTATACTAGTGGCCCGCCCTCACTTCGCTTCGGTGTAGAGCTGAAGTGTAGACTATAGTTATTGTTCTCAGGCCTGTATTATACACAATGGCATTCTTCTTAACCTACCGCCGCCGCGACCCGTGTCCTTATAAAAATAATCCTTATAGCATGATTCAGTATTCACGTGCGACGGCGCGATGACTTATTTCATGTATAAGTTTGGTGTTTCTATACCGATTTCTATGATTCTTTTTTTATTGAATAGGTAATAATGTTAACTTTTTTAAATTAGGGATGAGTGAGAGTATTATAAACGTAAGAGTAAACAAATAGATATATCAGAATGCTCCGAACTGTTAAGCTATCAGGAGTTACACGTGTTATTGTGAGTCAACCATAAAAGATAGACATATGCTGTTGCGGGATATTTTTTAGACAATTTTATGTAGACTATTTCCGTCATACATGATTTCTATGTAACTTTAACTATTAAGGCTGCACACGCAACGGAAGCTAAAAAAATGGAGTAACTTCTCCCGTTTTCCCAACATTTCCCTTCACTACTCTGCTCCTATTGACTGTAGCGTGATGAAAAGTATACTATAACCTGCCCAGGAGTATGAAAAATAATTGTACCAAGTTTCGTTAAAATCCGTCAAGTAGTTTTTGTTTCTATAAGGAACATACACACAGACAGACAGACAGACAAAAATTTTACTGATTGCATTTTTGGCATCAGTATCGATCACTAATGACCCCCTGATAGTTATTTTGAAAATATATTTCATGTACAGAATTGACCTCTACAGATTTATTATAAGTATAGATAAACAACTTCGATTAGTCTTTGGCTGAATGTCACTACACCCATAGCCATTAAAAATGATTCGTATGTTTTCCAAACCGGTAAAATTAAAAGTCTTTTTTAAAGTAAATATATTTGTTTCTTAGGTTTTCACGCACATCACTCATTAAATAAAACTAGTTTTTACGGGTTAATGCACGAAACTTTATTTATTTATTGACGTTTCGCAGCCTTTTCAGGTCTGCTTATTCTGACGATGCATTAACCCGTAAAAACTAGTTTTATTTAAAGTAAATATATTATACAAAGGTGTCCGTTGAAATCTAATGACTGTAAATTAAATTATAAATTACACCAAGAAATACCGTGCATGTCAATATTTTTTGTGCATTTAGGCCAATTTGAGCAATCTCCTTTGACAGCAATTTATCCTTTTCCTTCTCCATACAGAATGAAAATTAGAGACTGATGTTAAATTTAGTTTTAGTTAAGAGAATCATGCCAGAATCGACACCATGGGTCCTCAAATCTATATATATAAAACTCAAAGGTGACTGACTGACATAGTGATCTATCAACGCACAGCCCAAACCACTGGACGGAACGGGCTGAAATTTGGCATGCAGGTAGATGTTATGACGTGGGCATCCTCTAAGAAAGGATTTTATGAATTCTACCCCCAAGGGGATAAAATAGGCAATGAAAGTTTGTATGAAACTTGGTCAATTTTAAACCGATCGGGCTGAGACTTTGCATGCAGGTATAAGAAGAATCATAGATGAGTGTCATTGTGTATAATACAAGCCTGAGAACAAAAACTGTAGTCTACACTTCAGCTCTACACCGAAGCGAAGCTAGGACGAGCCGCTAGTAAGAAATAAAACTTGCATTTTGTTTATTGAAAAGTATTTTATATTTATAGAAGTATCAGAAACAATGTTTATACTTTCTTTGTTTCCTAAATGATATGAAAGAAATCAATTAGCTTAAGTCCACTTGAGCGCTTATCTCTTCTGAAACACTATTATCTTTATCACAATAACATGGCTTTGTACATTTACTTTAATAACAACAAAATTACATGCCTTTCTGTTTTTGCATATTACAGCTCATAGTTTTTATTTAGTAGGTTGAGTTTTATTCCGGTCGTTATATTTAGAGAGCAGTGACCGACTATGCAGAGATGAACTCTGCAATGACACCACACAAGATTGGCTTAAACAGAGCAGTAAAAATGTAGGACAATGCCTGCGGTGGTTATCTTATATAGGTACCTACTATGTATTTATCGCATTTGTCAAAAACTTTAGATATCTTCTTATATATAAAATTCTCGTGTCACAATGTTAGTTACCATACTCCTCCGAAATGATCTGACCGATTTTTATGAAATTTTATATGCATATTCTGTGGGTCTGAGAATCGGCTACTATCTATTTTTCATATCCTTAAGTGGTTAGGAGGAATGTTATCCCAGGAAATTGATAGAACACTACGTTATACACCTCTAAAATATTTTTGGACAATATTTATTTTTTTATAATGTGGTATACAAAATACATACAACCCTAAATTTTCTCTTCTATCACCTGCCCCTTTATGGCGGTATAGCTCGCTGGGCAGCTAGTTATTTTAATAAATTTTATCGTATAGTTGCTTCTCAAAATAGCCAGTTTACCGGGTATTTCCTTATGCATATTATAATAACTTATAGATCTTCCACGTTCACGCCTTATCTCTTCCGGAGTTGGACAATCAAAGACGTAGCCCGAGACATAAAGATATATAAACATTACTTACAGTGGCCCCGTTAAACCCCTGCAATAGGGGTGATGACGTGGTACAGTAAACGAAATTCTATTTAGTCCGTCAGTTAGATGATCAAAAAATAATGGACACGTATTTTTTCTTTGGGCAATCAACCAAAAAATGACAAAGTTATAGCGCGTCAAAGTTTGGGAATAGGGGCTCGTGACGTCACTTTTGAGTGAATTTTTACTTATAAGTGTACTCAAACGTGACGTCATGCGACTTTTCAAATCAATATATCTGTAATGTTTATATTATGTGAAAAAAGAAAAAATACGTGTCCAATACTTTTTGATAATCTACCTGATAAACGAAGAAAAAAAAATTAGTCATCATCCCTATAGACATTGGTTTAGTTAGGTTAAAAATTTTCAAATATTCACTTTGTAGGTGCATTTCACACCTATATTTCTAAACCGATTTTTGATGAGTTTTGGTATGAACTTAATTTTCTTTGGAGTAGGTGAAACGCAAATTTATTGCAAAATAAAACTGCAAGCAGGTGAAATAATAATGGAAGTTTATTACGCAGTTGAAGTTGCGGTCAAAGCTTAGTGCTTTTTTATACATACTAGCGATTGGAAATGTTATTGGATTGATTTCTTTATTATTCTTTTCCACTGTCGTTTATATTCATGCCATTCTGTATATTATTTACTACATAAATAAGAAAATCATAATAAATTCATTATTTCACAAATTGTAAATATTTTTTGATTTATAAATGTAATTTGTCTCATCGAGATCTAATAAAATGCATCGTTGTTTGCTCAAAAATTATGCCGACAATTCACCTGGCTATTCGTATATTGCTCTAGTGGACATATAGGACAGACTGTGTCAAGTTTACAAATAGGAAACATGAATAGCCAACTGAAGTGCCGGCATTAGGTACACAAAGTTATCTAAAACTGATAACTGACTTTGACCATGTCTAGTTTGATATAAGATGCATAGTTGATTCACAGAATTTGACATATCGTGATAACTTTGTGTACTGCATATGACTTTAAAGACAACTCGTTTTAAAGTTCCATGGTCATTAATACTATAGTAACTTATGTTAAAAACGAGATTGCTACCATGTTTTTATGAGTCCTCCATATTTCAAGTAATATTAGTTAATCCGCGATCATGACGGTTACAACAGGGCCAAAATATCGGGGAGAGGTAAGAAGCAAGGTACATGGCAGCAATCCCGTTAATAATATGAATTACTACAGACTTTAAAGACGTTCCTATTGATGACGCTGTATAGGAGGTGCGCGCGGAACGCGACGTCCTGCAGGCGCGCATGTCTGAGCAGGCGCTGAAGATCTCTTCGTTGTCGGCGCGCCTGCAGCAGCACCGCAACGATGCCGACGCGCGCGCGCACCACGCCGCCAGCCAGCTCAGCGTGCGCCTGCACGACGCCTGCGCCGAGGTGAGTGCTGTAGCTGTAGAGACAGGGACCTGAACCTTGTCTCCGTGCAGGGCTGCAGGTGTGTATGGTGTCGGCGCCTGCAGCAGCACCGCAACGATGCCGACGCGCGCGCCGAGGTGAGTGGTGTACAGACAACGACCTGAACCTTGTCTCCGTGCAGGGCTGCAGGTGTGTATGGTGTCGGCGCCTGCAGCACCACCACATGATGATGCATTACGGTGTTGTCAAGAACTCATGCTTGGAACCACTGCTTTTTGCGTTATATTAACGCACCATGCAACGTTACCGCACCGTTCCTGCCCGACAAACGGGACATCGCACCCGTAAGATAAGAGTGCGAAGACCCGCTTTACCAGGTACCAATATGTTACTGGGCGTGTTTCCCTGCCCCCCCCCCCCCCCCCTTCCACGACAACGCTAACTAGAGCAAAGTCCGATACTCAGAGACGCCCTCTAGTTGAGCCGATCCCCGAGTCGAGTGGACTAAAGGCTCCAGACGAAAAGGAGACTTCCCCGTAGGGAGATGCCATCTACCTGGAATACCTCTAGAGTCTAGAAGTCTGTCTAGCATCTCACCGTCCCCAAACCCGGTAACGCTGTAAAGGTCATCTAAGACCAACAGTATACAGACTCAAAAAAAACATCAGTCGGGCCGCGGTTACCGAAATAGCATCCTTGCTAGGTGGAAGATCTTCCCCTTTAGCCTTCCTACAAACCTTGAACTCATCTCATCGGACAAAAGATCCACTAACCGGCGGCACCCAGCAAGACTAAGCATTGACACCAGGTGAGCCCACGGGAACCTGTCCCACTCGGACGAACCTACCCGTCTTAAAGATGCCCTGAAGCATCAGGGGTATCCCCAGCAAAATGTCAGCAGGGAATATTGTCATCTGCTTATTTAGGGTATCGAGACTAATAATCTTCAGTCCATCTAGCAAATCAAAGACTTAACTTACAATAGATTTCACTTGCGTCGCCACCTTTCAGTGAAAACGCCGGTATAGCTGAATATGATTTAATTATACTACAAGAAATCATATAAAGGAAACAAAGCGCGCAGACAAAAGCTCTTCGAAAACAACATTACAGTCCTTGAAACTCCAAACAGTTTATAGGATTTTTTTTTTTTTTTTTTTTTTTTTATAGGAATTATATTAGAAGTAAAAAGAACTTTTTAAGTTGTCTTTAAATAAAAATTGGAATTATTCTTTTTACAGGTTGAAAAATTAAAAGAGGACCTCGAATCGAAAGACAAACAGCTGTTACGATTAAAACAGAGTTTGGAGGAAAAGGACAAATTGAATGAGCAACACCAATCTCTATATGGGAATTCATGTAAGTTTTTTTTGTAACTGTCGAATATTAAATAAACCAAAAATGTATTCATTATGTAAGAATTGTTTTTAAATTTATCTTAAAATGGAATAGTTCAAATTGAACTGAAGAATTAACAGAAGAAGAGTTAATTCTTCAGTTCAATTTGAACTATCGTGAATTTTGACAATTCGAGATTGGGCCACAGATTATAATTTCTTTCCTGTTTCCTCCCTCGATAGTTCAAATTAAACTGAAGAATTCACTCTAATCTTCTTCTTGATAATTTATTAAAATAAATTTAAAAACAATTCTTACATATAGAATACATTTTTGTTTTATTAAATAGCTCTTTAATCAAATCTCGTCGTAAAAGTTTCTATGAACACTAAGCAGCATCCTTATCGAAGGCTAGAATATCTAGCTTTTTCCATATAAATTCTGGCCTCTGACCTTATATTGGTACTATTTTGCACCAACATTAATGTTTTTGAGCCAAAACCACTACCCATGATTGTAACCTTCTTGAACATAAATGAAATATACTATCCAAATGCCAATACCAATCCTGGTCATGTCGGTTTTTGTAACACTATCTAAAACTTATCTTGGTTACATTTGATTGAAAGCAGTTGATGTTTCAGGACTCTAATTTCAATGTTACTGTAAATACACCAATCCCCATTCATTTTCACTTCCCAGGTAATCCCAAAGACAAGGTAGTTATACTTGAACGCGAGCTGTCAGCTGCTCAGAGCAGGATAGCTCAACTGGAGTCGTTGGCCAAAGGCTTGGAAGCGGATAAAGACGCGCTTAATGCCACGCTTCGGGACTTGCAGCGGGCATTGGCCGAAAAGGAGGAACAATTGCAGGAGCTACTGGGTATGAAATTCGACCTTATTGCGTTACATTTGAGTTTGAAATCAAGTAACAAATAATACGTTTCAGACAAAGCCGTTGTGTTTGTTTTAGGTTTTGGCTCGTTAACTTGCCTCTTACGTTAATAACTCATTAATGAACTATCGTTTTATTCATTAATTACTGTTAAGTTTTATTCTTTGTAAAAATGACAAGGAACAAGCGAATTCGGCTGGCTTGTATGAAAATGATTTTTAAAAAAGAATTTCCCACTCTTCCGGTAATATAATATTATAACAAAATATAAGTCTTCATTCTGTTTTAAGTGTCTCATTAAAGCTTTGGAAGTGTTCCAAAACGAATGCACTGATTTAGTTTACGACGCTAAACTCGTCTAGACCGAGTGATGTTTGGTGTAGTTTGGGCTGTGATTCATTGTACAGTTAGCACTTCTTTAGGTTATCAAAAACTGATATATGAAAATTTGTGATAATGTAATCTTACCTTTTATTGACGTACCATTAGTAATAAAATCTCTCTAAATCGTAACGCCAAAGTGTCTTCCACTAAGTAATATAGAAACATTTTCCGTAGCGCTCAAACTTGATGACGACAACCAAAGGGAGGATAGAAGCGAGAACGCAGAAGGGAAAGTGTCCGCTCGAACGCTCAGCGATATCGTTTCCATATCGGAGTTCGATGAACAAGACTTGCAGATGCGTCGCGCCGAACTACGAACCCACAACCTCAGTCTAACCGGGGTTCCTCACCCCCACACGAGAGAAAAGTTGCAAAGAACTTTACCCCCCGATATGAGCTCCCTACACATAGAATACATCGACCATTCTGATTTACTTCCCTCTTGCACTCCCCGAGCGGATTCCTTACCCGCCCATCTCACCTCTACACAGAACAAAGACGCCCTCAAACAATACAAACGAAACGTCAATGAAACAACACTCTTCAGTGTCGACAAAATGGATGCCACGAAACACAACATACCGGACAATTGCTCCATGTATCCCAACCGCGATGTGAGCGACAGCAAAAATGTCAGCGTCGAACCAAAAGTCATCGACTTCTCGGTCGAACCGTCCCAAGATAACAGGACGCGAGACGAAGAGTTCACGTCCTTACGAGAATTAGGAATCACTTTAGACATCAAGCAGGAAAACTTCCCCGATATACTGACGCAGTTGAAACACGAAATAAAGAAATCCAGATCCGAATTGGAAAACTGCAAATCGGAACTGAAAAATGCCGAAGAACAGCTGTGCGAGTTCCCAGCTTTAAAAGAGGAGGTCGAGGAACTGAAAAATCTCCTCGAAAACACTATGGCGACCATGGAAACCGATAAGAAGTTCTACGAAAACCAACTGGAAAATTTCACATCGAACAAAAAGCTGCTCGAGCAACGAACTTCGGAGTTGACGCAGGAAGTCAACGACAAATCCAAAGACTTACATTTGCTCAAAGAAGATATTTTAAGAAGAGAAAACATGATATTAGAATTAGCTAAAGAGAAGCGTAATTTGACTAATAAACTGGCTGAACTCGAAGTTAAAATCGACGAGTTGCAGAGCAGAAATAAAACGTTAGAAAACAGCGAGAGCGAGAAACGGCAAATGAGGGAGAAGTTACAAGAACTGGGGAGATTGGAACAACTCGTGTCTGAGAAGAATCATCAGATCGACAGCTTGAATCAGCACTTGGACAGATTGGACGATCTCCAAAGACGCTTGGACGACAAAACCGAAGAGTTGGACAACCTAAAAGAGTCGTTTGAGGAGAAATCTAATGAGCTATTCCAACTGCAGGATACTGTGGAAGCTCTAAACAGAGACGTGGCGCGACTGAATGAAGCTAACAAAGAACTCAACACAAACAACAAAGAGTTGAAATTAAAGCTGTCAAAACTGGAGAAGGAGCAAGAGAACGCGTCCTTGAAACTGCAGAGCAGCGAGAGCGAAGTGGAGAGATTAAACTCTTTGAACGGGGAGTTGACGTCCAAAATTGACGAGCTGAAACTGCTGAATGACAAGTTGAAAGATAAGGAGACAGAGATAGAGATTCTGAATGAGGACATTAAAGCTTTCCATGAAGAGATTGCGTCGTTGAAGGAGCAGTTAAAGATGGTGTCGCGTAGTCCATCGCCTAGAAGTAAAGGCGGTGAAGATAAGAGATCGACGGAAACTCGCGCGGGGGCTGATATGAAGCAGTTGATGAAGATACGCAAGCAGATCTCGCTGATGCAGCATGAGCTCGACTTCCACAAGAAGGAACTTAATGATAAGGTGAGTTTTATCATTATGAGCCGAATACTCTTTCTCTTATTCCTAGTACGTGACATTTCATTGCGATTTTCTTTTGCTTTGATCTCGGTTTTTGAGTTTAAACTAATGTATTGTTAGATTATCAAATATAGGTTACCTACATCATTATATTATTCAAATAGGGAATATGCATGTAATTCAAGCGTTATGTTATTTTTATATACACTCTGTTACTTTTAATTTGTCCCTGCCCAATATTTGATAATTGAATTTCTTTTCGAGCAAGAAATTAAAGATATTAGAATACGAAAAACTTGTGGGAAATTCAAATTTTTTGAAACGCGACAACAGCGGTTGTGGCGTAGATTTTTAAAGGAGATGTAAACAACAAAATAAAAATATTTGAAAAAAAAAACATGCATATTTCCTATTGGCGAAGTTAGCTCATTAAGTCTGCAGTTAAGTCAATGAGCAGATACAGGATAAAGGAAGGATTATAATATGTATTTCTATATGTTACTCTATTATCCCATAACACAAGCTTTGCCCCTCGTTTACACCAAGGTATAACACATGTATTTAACAAATTTTATACAATGTCTTCATTTTTTGTTTAAGTGTAAACATATAATATACATACATGTATTATAAACTAAACTGAAGTATGTAATACTTGCATCAAACTTGTCGGATAAACAAAATACAGTAAAACCCGTTTAAGACGATTTCACAGGGACTCAACCAAAAACGCTTCTTAAGCGGGAAAGCGTATTATGCGGGATGCGGGATAGGGTAATTTCGAATGTAGGTATTGAGGTATAAACTGTACAATATTTAAGAATTATGTATGTTATAAAAAATGTAGTGTATTATTATTTATTATTACGTTATTTAAATTAATCACTTATTTTGGTTTGTCAAAAAGATTTTGAGGCATTAGCAATTACAAGAGTTTCAACACAATTTAACTTTTGTAGTGCGTCTTCGCTTTGATTCAAAGAAATTACATAGCGTCTTAAATCATTAACTGATGATAATGCCTGGGCGTGTGACAAAATTGGAGTTGACTCATATTCTTATTGATCATTATCACTTAGGGCCTCTTCTTGTACATTGTCATCCATGTCAGAATATTCAGGAAAACCCTGGGAGCCGCTTAGCGTGCGTCGCTCGACAGTCGTCACGTCAATCGCTGGCCGCTGCCGCAACTAAACGTTAAGAAATGTATGAAAACACGTCTCAAGTTGCAGGGACTGACGCAAAATGGCGTATTATGCGAGAAATCGTATTAAGCGTGATCGTATTAAACGGGTTCTACTGTATGTGATTTATACTTGTAAAGATAGTAAGTTGTTTATGCAGTGTAAACGAAAGAATGTTTTAAACAGTCACAAAAAGTATTATACAAGTTTTGTTATAAACGAGTATATACTTGTGTCTTGGTGTAAACGAGGGTTTGCATTTGCTTGCTTTGGAGCTACTATTTGGCGTGTTTGAAATGTTTATCACCTCCGTTTATCCTATCCGAAATTTGAGCAAAGTGGTATATTTTATGCAGCTTATTTTTTTATTTTTATGTATTTATTCAGGCCTTCGAGCTGGCCAAAGCCAAGCTAGAAGTGACAGAGCTTCGCAACAACTGCAGTCAGGCTCAAAAGATTTGCACCGACAAAGAAGCGGAGGTGGCTACTATGCAAGCGGAGATTGTCGCTGTCACTATGCAGCGAGAACAGCTCAAGCAACAGCTTGAAGCACTCAACCATAAGTACTGTATTGTTAATTTGTTACTTGTTACCGAAAACACTCTTTAATAAAAACAATTCATACTAATATTAAAAACTTCGTGCCTGTCTGTCTGTTACCTCTTCACGCGTCTTACCGCTGAACCGATTTAGATGAAATTAGGCATAGCGATAGATTGAGTCCCGGGAAAGCACATAGGATAGGATATTTCAGAAATCCGCTTTTTAATGGGATGAAAAAAGGAGTGGAAATTGCATGGAAAATAAATCACGCAGACAAAGTCGTAGGTGTGCCAGCGTTATGTAAAAATATTTTCAGAAATCATGTCAAATAACAAACATTGTAAAGCGTAAATAAAGTTTTGCGTGTCATCATCATCAGCCTATTAATGTCCCCACTGCTGGGGCACAGGCCTTCCCTATGTAGTCCAGTCAACAAGTTCAAAAACGTGAAAAATAGAGATAAAGCTCCTAAAAATATGAGCAATAGCTCATTGGATTCGGAACGACCTCTAGAAAAATGAGTTTTGAGGATTTTACTGCACGTAAAAAATTGCAATTGTTATTAACAAAATAAGATGAAAAAAAAGAGGTATTTACGTTTTTGTTAATAACTCATAAACTATTGATATTTACGATATTTGGAAAAAATATCCTTAAAGAGGAGGAAATTTCCGAAAAAAAAGTCCCAGCTCCCGGAACTCTACCTCTATTATTTATAATTTTAATTTAACGCTGAAAATAGGGCTCCGCGCAGCCATTACGGCATGGGCGCACTGCCGTTAAAGACAGTTTCTTACATAAAATTATTTTTTTATAGTAACAAATATGAATTTAAAAATTTAAATAAATTATGGTGTCATCCAGATACTTGAAAGAATATATTCCCGTTGGAAAATTTTTTTTTAAATTATTTTTTCAAAAAGTTATGCAATTGTTAATTAACGAATTTTTTTCCCATCTCCGTTTTCATAAATGACGACATAAAAATTTAAATAATAAACCTATAAATTTTTGGCTCTGTGGAGCTCCTCTTATATATATACTTAACAAGATCCCGCGATAAAAGTTTATTAAAGTTAATTATTTTGTTTATAACAATTTTTTAAAGTTAACAAAAAATGAAAAGTCTAAGAAATGTTATTAAAAAATTTTTTTTAAACAAATGTTATATTATTGCTGCTTTCTTATCCAACAATGGCATTAAGTGACATCGGAAAAAAAAATTTTACATCATTTGTTAAGAAATTGTTTATAAACAAATAGACAAGTTTAATATTTAAAGAAATTTTTTTTTACCATTATGTTGTCTTGGCAAAATAATGATTTTTTAAAAAAAAAAATTTCTTAAATAATTTTTTTTATTGTTTATAATCGTTTTTTTTATATTTCGATTGTTTAAATAATTAGTTAAGGAATGATTTTCTCTTTAAAAATCATAATTGGCATTTCTTCATAGGTAAATAGAAAAAAAATTTTTTTTATCAATAATTTCATTGTTTGTTAACTTAACAATTTGTTATAAACAAATTGTAACTACCGTTATATTTTTTATCTAGAGCTAAAAAAAATAACAAAAACAGCCATATATATCAAAATACTAAAAAAAATTTTTTCTATTTTTTATAACGCTTTTAAATATTACACGATACCAAAGTTGCACCGGACACTTGATTTGTCAAGTAAAAAATTAGTATAACTTATAAACTATTCGAGATACGATAATGGACATTCAGGTCGTTTTTATAAAGCATTAATTAATCTTCAAAATAAGCTAAAAACCAAGTTTGTAACTATTGTTTATCAGCTAATACATGCATTTGTTTATAAAATTTTGAGATTTCATTAACTTTTTCGTATCTCTTATGACTTACAACTTAATAATAATTAAAATACAGCTATAAACCTTAGAACAATTTTGTTTAGCGATACATTATCTCCCAAATTATCAATTAATCGTACCTCCATCTCTAATTGTTTAAACAATATACGTGATTTAATTAATATTTATTTAATATTTATCTAACACTTACCTTCATTTTGTAATTTTTTAATTTTCTCTATATTATTATAAGTTATTATAGCTTCTAAGTGAAACTGATTTTATCATTTATTTAAATAAATAGTTTTTTTTTTCATATTTTTTGTAGTTTGATCTGCCGTATCTTCTAAATTTTTACATGTAAACCATATTTTTATATATTTTATTATAATTAAATAGAATTACATTTATTGGTATGAAAAAAATATTAGAAATAATATTAGGATAAAATGGATTTATAAAATAAAAGTCACTGTTTTATAATAATAATTCTAAATATATTTGAGGAAATAACACAATGCAATAATACAAATTCAAATAGTTCGTTTCCTTCTTTTCTTTAAGGGAGGGATTGCAGAACAGCTTGGTCTATCGAAGTTTTGAACTGAACTAGTTGACACCTTTTCTGTCATATTAGAGATGGAGGTACGATTAATTGATAGTTTGGGAGATAATGTATCGCTAAACAAAATTGTTCTAAGGTTTATAGCTGTATTTTAATTATTTATTAAGTTGTAAGTCATAAGAGATACGAAAAAGTTAATGAAATCCCAAAATTTTATAAACAAATGCATGTATTAGCTGATAAACAATAGTTACAAACTTGGTTTTTAGCTTATTTTGAAGATTAATTAATGCTTTATGAAAACGACCTGAATGTCCATTATCGTATCTCGAATAGTTTATAAGTTATACTAATTTTTTACTTGACAAATCAAGTGTCCGGTGCAACTTTGGTATCGTGTAATATTTAAAAGCGTTATAAAAAATAGAAAAAATTTTTTTTAGTATTTTGATATATATGGCTGTTTTTGTTATTTTTTTTAGCTCTAGATAAAAAATATAACGGTAGTTACAATTTGTTTATAACAAATTGTTAAGTTAACAAACAATGAAATTATTGATAAAAAAAAATTTTTTTCTATTTACCTATGAAGAAATGCCAATTATGATTTTTAAAGAGAAAATCATTCCTTAACTAATTATTTAAACAATCGAAATATAAAAAAAACGATTATAAACAATAAAAAAAATTATTTAAGAAATTTTTTTTTTTTAAAAATCATTATTTTGCCAAGACAACATAATGGTAAAAAAAAATTTCTTTAAATATTAAACTTGTCTATTTGTTTATAAACAATTTCTTAACAAATGATGTAAAATTTTTTTTTCCGATGTTACTTAATGCCATTGTTGGATAAGAAAGCAGCAATAATATAACATTTGTTTAAAAAATTTTTTTTAATAACATTTCTTAGACTTTTCATTTTTTGTTAACTTTAAAAAATTGTTATAAACAAAATAATTAACTTTAATAAACTTTTATCGCGGGATCTTGTTAAGTATATATATAAGAAGAGCTCCACAGAGCCAAAAATTTATAGGTTTATTATTTAAATTTTTATGTCGTCATTTATGAAAACGGAGATGGGAAAAAAATTCGTTAATTAACAATTGCATAACTTTTTGAAAAAATAATTTAAAAAAAATTTTCCAACGGGAATATATTCTTTCAAGTATCTGGATGACACCATAATTTATTTAAATTTTTAAATTCATATTTGTTACTATAAAAAAATAATTTTATGTAAGAAACTGTCTTTAACGGCAGTGCGCCCATGCCGTAATGGCTGCGCGGAGCCCTATTTTCAGCGTTAAATTAAAATTATAAATAATAGAGGTAGAGTTCCGGGAGCTGGGACTTTTTTTTCGGAAATTTCCTCCTCTTTAAGGATATTTTTTCCAAATATCGTAAATATTAATAGTTTATGAGTTATTAACAAAAACGTAAATACCTCTTTTTTTTCATCTTATTTTGTTAATAACAATTGCAATTTTTTACGTGCAGTAAAATCCTCAAAACTCATTTTTCTAGAGGTCGTTCCGAATCCAATGAGCTATTGCTCATATTTTTAGGAGCTTTATCTCTATTTTTCACGTTTTTGAACTTGTTGACTGGACTAATGGATGGAATAGGGAGATTGGGCCATGATCCACCACGCGGGCCCAGTGCGGATTGGTGGGTGCTAACGACTGCATATGCAGCCGGGACCAACGGCTTAACGTGCCTTTCGAACGAAGCACGGAGGAGCTCAAAATAGTAAATTTTTGGTCACCCATCCAATGACCGACCACTGCGAAAGTTGCTTAACTTCAAAGATCGCAGCCGAAAGCGCTAACCACTTGCGCCATTATATTTAATATTGTCAATTAAACCTCCTTTGTAATCAACAAAATTAAAAATGATATGGAAGCATTACTCTCTTACAAAGGCCACTAAAACATGGATCTAAACTCATACAACTAAACTTCAATACTAACACGACACGCACACAGACAAAACAAAATACTTTGACAAATCAAATATCTGCAAATGAATTCGGCTATTCATTGGGTAAGATAATCTTAAACAGAAATCGCAACTAATCGCATGACCGACGTGTTTATCGCAGTTTTTTCGGTCCCGCCCTCTTGATCGCAGTTTGGATGGAACCACTTTTTAGCACAATTCGTATTCCATATTATTACTAATTCGTTCTTTGTAATACAGGATTCGAGAAGAGTCCAACATGTCTGAACTGAAAGAAAAATTACGTGGAAAGGTAGAACGATGCCGGGAACTAGAGGCCGAGCTGCAGGATACTAAGGATCTAGTCGAAAGGTTAGTTGGTGCTTGTTACTTTAAAATAATGTTATAATTTGAAATTTTGACAATGGTGCTTATACAATAGGGTATTTGACAACTTTTAGAGAATGATCTCAATTATCTACTAATGTTTATGGAGACCATAAAAAGAGGATATTTTTAATTCTGTTGTGTAATTCAGTAAAATAAAAAAAAAATCAAGTATCAGTTTGCCGCGAAAAAGTTTCTCTGGATGGCGTCTCATCACTAGTATGTGACGTCACACGACTGTCATTAAAACGTCAAACGATACAATGTAATGTTACTCTTTGACTTAGTAGGTACATTCATAACCTTAAAAATCGTATTTTTATTATTTAAATATTATTTTGTATAATATATTTATACTTTAAATATTATAATATTAACCATTTAAAACATATTTCCAAAATGTGTCAAGTAGCCTATTGCCACATTATTTTTCATACGGTCAAGTAGACTATTCAGTTAGTGTTATATAATGCAATTCAACTAAGAATAGGACCGACTGGGCGCCATATTTTGACGTCATAGCTGTCAATTCAAACTAAATAGGTAGAGTGAGCAAAAAAATGTTGCTATTTAATAAAACTTATTTACTAAGATTAAGTGAGACAAAACATCAGATTTATTAATAAAATTAATTTACTAAGGTTGTGAAAGAACACAACCGATTTTTAATAGTATTTCTTTATTAAGACTGTGTGAAAAAAAACATTAATCAGAATCTAGCTCTTCAATTTCTCCCATCTCAGCATTACCGCCGGAGAAGTTATGAATAATCATGTAGGTCACATACGAACATGCATCCTATATGTAAACGAAAGTTTTAAATCGAGTTTTTGAACGCACCATAAAGTGACATTTGTTTGACGATTTAGGTCAAGGCTGCTCAACCCCAGGCCCGCGGGCCACGATGTGGCCCGCGAAAGAATTTTGTGTGGCCCGCGCAAGTATGGTTTGTAAAAACGCACCAAATTCAAAAATCCCGCCGCGCACAGTACAGCCCGATTCAAACTTTATGACCTCTCTGAAGTTAGCTATCAGTTCGCTACGAGCAGCGCGGGGATTGATACCCCACCCCCGCGTCTCCAATATTGTGCATTGCGAATCGTAAGTAACGAAGCTTGGATAGGAATTGTACGGTCGGAACGGTCATCAACCCCGCGCGCCCGCGTCACTTTACTGTCTCATCTCACATCTCATTATGCTTCGAGAAACAATTGAGTGCGTACGTGTTTTAGTTCAACTGACTGTTAGTTGTTAGTTTGTTGTTAGAAAGTGAAGTTTTGAATTTGTGTTTTTGTCAATTTCGTATTTACACTGGAAGGTCCAAGGTAAGAGATATAATGAAGGCAAAATTTTATTTTTTCGTATTACATACTTAGGTATCTATTTGAAAAGGAAAATATACCGATACACGACCCACACGTTTTATAAACTGTCTGCCTGTGTAATAATAATAATAATAAAATATGGTTTGTTTCAGTATGGCTCACAGCAAACCGAGTAGTTCGAAATCAACGGAGGCCTATCGTGTTTTTCATGACGAATGGGAAAATAAATATTGTTTTATTGAAAGCAAGGCGCGTAAGCCTACATGTTTACTTTGTTTCACGACAGTAGCTACTGCAAAAAAATATAATTTAGAAAGGCATTATAAGCAAAATCATAATAATTTTGAAAAAGATTACCCTGTTGGTAGTGCTATCAGAGAAGATTTTTTAAAGAAAAAGAAACGGGACCTATTTAACCAACAGAATATTTTCGTTAAAAAGCACGACGAGCTTGAATCCATGGTTAAAACATCTTACGAGATTTCTTTGCTCCTAGCGAAAAAGAAGAAATCGTTTTCCGATGGAGAGATTGTTAAAGAGGCTTTGACGATCTTTGCAAAAAATTGTGATGATAAACACGTCAAAGCTAAAGCGGACAGTATTTCACTCTCACGGCACACTGTCACGAGACGGGTGGAGCAAATGGCAGTTGACATCAAGGAGCAGATTCAAGAAATCGTAGCTAAGTGCAAATATTTCTCATTGGCGTTAGATGAAACTTGCGATTTAACGAGTAGATCTCAGTTGGCTATTTTTGTGCGATGTGTTGACGAAAATTGGAATGTATTGCAAGATTTACTAGAAGTCTGTCAGCTAGAAAGCACAACCCAAGGAAAAGACATATTTTTGAAAATTAAGGAATGCATTGAAAAAAATACTTTATCGTGGGACAAATTGATATCTATTTGCACTGATGGTGCACCAGCAATGATTGGAAAAAACAATGGCTGTGTGGCTTTGTTACAGAATTTCTTAGGTCGTAATTTATTTTCGTATCATTGTATTATCCACCAGGAAGCCTTGTGTGCCAAGGATATGGAGTTGAATGACATTATGGACCCAGTAATACGCTGCATAAATTACATACGTGCAAAAGCTCTTAACAGACGTCAATTCAGACTATTATTTGAAGAAGAAATCAAAGAATATGGAGAGTTACAACTGTACTGTGCTGTGCGATGGCTTTCAAGGGGCAGTATGTTGAAACATTTCTTCAACTTGCGAGAACAGGTGTTGGAATTTTTAGAGCATAAAGAGGCTTTACCATTGGAAGTTGATTTACTGAAGAATACATCCTGGTTGAGTGATCTTGCATTTCTTGTTGATATTACGAATTACCTCAATATTTTGAATCTCAAATTACAGGGTAAAGATTGTTCACTTCCGACTATGTTTAATATGATAAGCGGATTCAAAGCAAAATTAAATCTCTTTACAATTAATTTGGCGACAGAAAACATTGATCTCTTCCCCACACTAAAACATTTGAAAGATGAGCTCAATATTGCTTCTATTAATTACTTTAAATACCAATCTAAAATTAAAAGCTTATCACAGTCGTTTGAGTCGCGATTTCAAGATTTCGAAAGTAAAAAACAAAATTTACAAATATTTTTAAATCCTTTCATGATAAGTTTGGCTGAAATAGTCACTTATCCTGCAAATATTCAATTAGAACTTGTGGAACTGCAAAATCACATTATGTTAAAAAACCTTTTTGCTAACAAATTGTCGAAAGCACAAAATTCTTCAGAAGATTATGCAGAATTCTGGAAACTGGTACCAAAAGGAGAATTTCCAGCAATAACTGACCTGGCGTTACAGTTTATAAGTAGTTTTGGTTCAACATATGTTTGTGAAAAGGTTTTTTCAGATCTAAATTTTGTAAAAAATAAATATCGCACATCCTTAACTGAGCAACATATTTGTGACTTGTTGTTACTGTCAACGTCGGATTTGTCGCCAAATATAAATAAATTATTAAAAGACAAACAATGGCAGAAGTCACATTGATTGTAATAAATAAAGTAAATATAAATTAGTTTTTAAGCTATTGTATAGCTTTTATCGCGTGCTTTGAACGCGGGGACCGAATCAAAAAAATCTGTAACGAAAAAACCTTGCGATAGTGCATATACCAATAGAACACAATTTTCGCCAATCTAATGTTAATCTAAACGGCGCAGTGTGTTAAGTTTTTGCCACGGGACTAACGTTCGACGCATCACCGCGGTCGTCGGTTCAAATCCTGCACTCGTATTTTTTATTTTTAGTTATTATTTTTTTATTTTTTTTATATATTTGTTTTAGACCCCAGCACCTGTTCTTATTTTTATTTGTCTCCCTTTTATTTAGACTTTATAATTATAATTAAATTTTTTGGACTAAAGATGGTAAACTGTGGAGCTTGTGGAAGTTTTTTGGCGCCGGGCAATGCTGTTGTTTGCTGTGCTTGCCCAATAAAATATAATAAGGCCTGCCTCGCCATCCCGGAAAAGTCGAGTGTCGTCAAGGACTGGATATGTCCGAACTGCAAGAAGAGCACACGCAGGGGTGACCACAAGCGTTCGCCTGTAAATGGTATCAGCGAATCTTCTGAGCCCGAAAAACCGGTTGCTGTACGGGAACCGGTCGACCTGGCCAGTGGCTCTCCAAAGGAAGATGAGGTCTAGGGTAAGGCCAAGGAGAACGCCGCCAGAAATAATCACACCAGAGATATAAAAATTATGCTGGCCGACTGCATGAAGGAGATGGAAAAAAAAATTGTTTTCTTATCGGTCACCACGTTCAAAAAGTCTAACATGAATTAATATCAAAGAAAAAACTGCATAAATAAATAATTATAATTGCATAAATTGATAAAAAATGCTATGCAATAGCTTTACCGCGGCAGTCCCCGAGTGCCACACGTATTTTTTTTCTCTATTTTGTACTGGAATATGTTACAGTTTGTAAAAGTCTTTGTATAATATTAACAATAGCATTTTTCTTTGCTTAGTTTGCAGTTGCACACTGTAAAATCTTTCAAACAACAAATATTTTTTGTAAGGGAGGAAACAACTTGCTGAGTTTCTTGCCCGTTCTTCTCAGAACAAGGCCACTTGGTAGCTAGTGAACTCAAAAGAGTATGTAAATACCGAACTGCATAAAAGTTGATTTAAATTTGAGAAGATACATACACAGGTACTTACATAATTCAAATTTTGTTTCTTTTTTAATAATAATAATATTTAGAATAAGATACTCTTTGTTCCTAATAAACAATAATTCAATTTTATATTCATAATTATTGAGTTTATATTGCGCTACTCCTGAGAGTAACTGAAATAGGAAATGTAAGTGGCCCGTCGTTAACGACTAAATCTACCATTTGGCCCGACTCTTCAAAAGGTTGAGCAGCCTTGATTTAGGTTATCAACCATTCATAGCCAAAGCTCAATAAATGAGAAAAAAAAACAACCAATGCTAATTATCAACATTTGTTATTGTTTTTATTCTAGAATCAGCTGAGTGCTAAAAAAGTGTTTTTTGCAAACTGTACTTTTCAAGCGACATTTGACAGATGGAGGTCATTGGCTTTCCTATTCTTAATTGAATCGCATTATAATATCCTGTGTTTAAAGCATATCTTGAAAAAACGGCACTACACATCGGTCTATTTTGAGACAACAGAAAAGCCCAATAAAACAAAATTTGATCTTCATTTTATGTATTTATTTATTAATAAGCAAATAAAATAAATAATTAAAATCTCTCATATCCATCAGGTTACGTAGTGCCGAAGCGCCGGTAACAGATCGTGCTCTAGTGGTGAGCGGCAGTAGATCACCCACGGCTGAGTTAGAACGGGCACTCAGAGACCAACTTAACTACTCTCATGAACTGGACGATGACATTATGGAGCAGGTGACCTACAACTATATATAGTCTTTCATTTGTCTAAAGTCAACAATCTATATATATAAAACTCAAAGGTGACCGACTGACATAGTGATCTATCAACGCACAGCCCAAACCACTGGACGGATCGGGCTGAAATTTGCCATGCAGGTAGATGTTATGACGTAGGCATCCGCTAAGAAAGGATTTTGATCAATTCTACCCCCAAGGGGATAAAATAGGGAATGAAAGTTTGTATGAAACTTGGTCAATTTTAAACCGATCGGGCTGAGACTTTGCATGCAGGTATAAGAAGAATCATAGATGAATGCCTGAGAACAAAAACTGTAGTCTACACTTCGGCTCTATACCGAAGCGAAGCGAGGGCGAGCCGCTAGTAAATAATAAGTTTTGTCTGGAAAGGACTGGCATATGATACACAAGTTTTATTTACATCGGGACTCAGGGTGATGTTGATTTGTAAATTGGTGATGTTGAAATAAAGAAAAAAAGAGACATAAATCTCTCATACCTATAAGAATATGTGGCACAGAGGTAACTTTCATCCATTGAAGATTTTACAATGTATGATTATAATACATAAATATTACAGTGATTTCATTAAGAAAGCAGATATTCATGATTTCGATTCTAGAAAAAACATAAACTTGTTGTTCCTATGAAGATTAAGAAAAACACAAACCACATTCTTCAAAAAATGCTTAATTTTTTACAATAAATTGCCGATTTCCGGTATGACCGACCTCCCTATGCATACATTTAAAATTCTTAACTCTTTGATAAGTCAACTTGAAAAAAGTTAATTTTCAATGCATATGCGAAATTCTTACTTTTATTCTTATTATCCAAAACTTACATTGTGCATTTTTTTCTAGATATTGTCGGCAAGCAGCGACGAACGCGAAGATATTCCCCGTCTCGCTCTAAACTCGTCAAAGTGAGTATTATTTTTATGGTTTTCATGTTACTATAGTTATAATTATTATTTCGCCCAATGTGTGCCCACAAGACATTAAACATGACAGTGTAAACGTTGTATGAAGAATATTTTTAATATTATATAAACAAACAACTACACAATTGAAATAGGACTATTATGTGTTAACCACTATAATACGAGTAAAACGAGCAACTCAAATTATTCCTCAATTTATAAAGCTTTCGCTGTCTTCGGTCTTAATTTATGTTTTTTAGTAATAAAATTGTTAATTACTCTTTAATTTTTTTTTATTAGCTGTGCCCCGCGGTGTTACTCGCGGTTTATTAGGGATATTTTCCCGCAGTAAAACGTAGCCTATGTGTTAATCCAGGGTGTCAGCTAACTTACAAACTTTCGCCTTTATAATATCTAATATATAAAATTCTCGTGTCGCGGTTTTTGTGGTTAAACTCCTCCGAAACGGCTTTCCCGATTTTCATGAAATTTGTGTGCATATTGGGTAGGTCTGAGAATCGGACAACATCTATTTTTCATCCCCCTAAATGTTAAGGATAATCACGGAGGAAAAACAAAGAGGAGCTGGCCTAAGCAACTGTGCACTGTGATTTTCAACTAGGTCCTGACGTCATCATTGTGGGCGGGGCCTAAGTCAGTATGCTTTCAGCGTTCGTCAGGTGCACACTTAACGAGACTCGCATTATAAGTGTTTTTTTGCGTTTTTAACAAGAAAAGGATGAAGTTTTGTGTTTTACTATGTCAAAGTTACTCAGACAGACGTTCTGATAATATGGATGGCATCACATTTCATTTGTAAGTAATTTTATACGTAATTAAATATATAAGTTCTAGAACATTCTCAGCCTCAGCTATCAGCGTTAAAATTCTACTACTTGACACCAGATGGCGACACTTTTAGGAAGAAAAACACAAGTTTACGTATAATTTTGCAATAGTATATTGTAATAATCATACGTAAATACTGAAAACTGTTATACACTTATTCCTAAATAACTTTTAGTATCTAAAACAGTAATTTTATCAATATATAACTAACTGGCCGCCATCTGTCGTCATATAGAATATTTTTTTAAACGTTACAAATATCCAGGGCAGTAATACGTATTAAATTATTTTACCAAGTAAATAAATTTTAAATCTAAAGAAAAGTTTACTAGAAAAAAATCCACGCGGACGGGAATAAATAAAAACATAACTATAACTGCTATTTCTTCTTTCAAATGTTTAATACTTGAAAAACTATTCATTTGACATTGTGGGTTACCTACAATGCGAAGAGATGGCGCTGCCTTGCAGCTTAAGGCTAGGAAAATTTCGACGCGGCGAATAGGGCCGTGGTAGCATAATGGTCAGTGCATTCGCCCGGATTGCGAAGGATGCGGGTTCGAGTCCCGTCCGCTGCCTGGTCCGCGTGGATTTTTTTTCTAGTAAACTTTTCTTTAGATTTAAACATCTAGCAGTTAAATGCTTAAAAAATAAATAAAAACATAAATAAATTTTAATTATTTTTATGTTCGTTTTAGATTTCCATCCAACGATAATTTAAAACAGCAATGGATTTCAAAACTTAATAGACCGGATTGGACACCATAGAAGAAGAAGATATTTCCATTTTAAATGAATCTTCTGTGCAAAAAATTAATATTACATCAGAACGTTATCGCATTTTAAATAAAATGAGTTTCGAGTCTTCGGATAGCACGGATGTCGAGCCTATGCCTGACGATATGTTATTGGAATTTGATGAACAATTAAATACAATTATAGGTGACTATTTGCGCCGTCAAATAGTAGCATATATTTCTGGGTATGTGGTCAAATATTTACATTCCAAGATCAAATGTGAAAGCTGTCTCAAAGAATTATATGCTGATAACTACGACGATAGTGACCTTGATTTGATAAAATCTAAAAATAAGGGTGGTCTTACTTTCCCATCTAGAGATGTCATAAAAATATGTATACGGACCGAAGACAGTATTCGTTGTGTTAAATCGCAATCTTTGAATACTCCTAACTTTCGTAAACATAAAATTGTATCGAATACATTAAAATCACTTATTGGACAAGATTGTTTCAAAAAATCGGCCAACCATATGTTTGTCCAATCACCTACAGTTAATCATGTTGTATTTCTGATGAAATCGATTGCAGAAAAATATATTGATATTCGTTTTAAGCATTTTGCCACAATACAAAACGATAGGGCAACCAACCGACAACAACTAACCAAAACTATTATTTACAGGTAATTGATGTTTTTTAATAAAATTATGTTTGTAATAACATTTTGTCTATTATTTTTAAACTACCTTAAAATTTAAATCTAAAGAAAATATAACTAGAAAAATATCCACGCGGACCAGGCAGCAGACGGGAGCGGGTGCGGGTTCGAGTCCCGTCTGCTGCCTGGTCTGCCTGGATTTTTTTTCATCAAGAAGTTACATGTTTTAAAATAATAAAATTTATACCTTAAAATTTTTAAAATCGGTCAAATTTGTCAACGTTTATTTTATTTATTTACCTACATATTTAATTTTTTTGAAGCTTCAAGTTCTGAGTACGTCCCATTATAAACAAAACTTTTGACATCTAGTGTTAGATAGCTGAACTACTACGTAGTAACATAAATATCAACCTAAGCTAGTTTTGCTATTAGCCGATAGATGAAATATTGAGAAGTGGGCGGAGCTGAACACCCCGCATCCCGCAAATTATCACGCGTCGTTTCTTGAGGAAATTTAATCACCACACCTCCTCTTTGTTTTTCCTCCGTGAGGATAATCCACCCCTAATTTTTTTGTTTCAATTTTTGATATTTTTTTTAAAAATAATTTATGATACATCATACAAAAATACATACAACCCTAAATTTTCACCCTTTACCACCAACCCCTATTATTTTAGGGCGGTACGCTGGGTACAGCTAGTTAGTTATCATATAATAACACCCCAGGAGATCTACTGGTAACGTCCCAAAATAGCAATGGATGTTTTTAAAAATGTGCCGAAATAGATTAGGGTACCCCCCGTGAACTAATCGTACATTTCCAAATCTTCATTCAGTATTTCAAAGTTGTTCGATATTGTTAGGTGTGTCAACTTATTTATCTCACAGTGAAATGTGGTAAATGAGATTAAAGAATTCATTCCAAAGGTATTGTTTTCTATTGTAAAAAGATTTTGATTAAATATAAAGCTTTTTATTTTTTATTTATTTTTAAGCATTTAACTGCTAGATGTTTAAATCTAAAGAAAAGTTTACTAGAAAAAAATCCACGCGGACCAGGCAGCGGACGGGACTCGAACCCGCACCCTTCGCAATCCGGGCGAATGCACTGACCATTATGCTACCACGGTTACCTACAATGCGAAGAGATGGCGCTGCCTTGCAGCTTAAGGCTAGGAAAATTTCGACGCGGCGAATAGGGCCGTGGTAGCATAATGGTCAGTGCATTCGCCCGGATTGCGAAGGGTGCGGGTTCGAGTCCCGTCCGCTGCCTGGTCCGCGTGGATTTTTTTCTAGTAAACTTTTCTTTATAAAGCTTTTTTTTAAATTATAAAGTGCGTTGTTGAAACTAATCTTCACAGCTTGTATACAACGTTATATTCAGTTCGTAATGGGTAGATGTTTGGGACTAAATGCTAATAAAGTTATTTAGCCAGTTTTTAATTCGAATAGTTTTGTATGGAATATTTTTAATTCGAATAGTTTTGTATGGAATATTTTTAATTCTCGGTACTTCCGTTTTGTGACGCTGGACAAATTTCGGATTCGATATTGGTTTGTGCTAAGGGTACTGTACCCCTAGCATGAACCATTATCGAATTCGAATAGTTTGCAAACCGAAGTGTCAATGTCAAATTTTGTATGGAAACTTGAACAGCAGCGGCACAAAGTACGTAACGAGAACTAAAAATCAGTACACATTTGACAATGACATTTCGGACTCGCAAACGATACGAATTCGATATTGGTTCGTGCTAGGGGTACTGATGTTAGAAAATAATTTATAATATGAACTTTTAATTTTATTCTTTAAGCTTTTAACTACTGCATGTTTATATCTAAAGAAAATATTACTTGAAAAAACCCCACGCGGATCAGTTCCCATCTGTTGCCTGGCCCGGAATTTTTTCTAGTAAGTTTTTGAAGTGAAAACTTCTTTAGCGACGGCATAAATGCATTTTTTTACAATAGATGTCGCTAGGTGCGTTTAAATGTGATTCATGTAAGTTGATTTTTCTGAGAGATAAACTTTTTAATGTAACATAAATTGTCATGTTTGTATACGATAGCGCAATAAAAAAAAAATGTATTCTACCATATAAATGATAGTACTTTTATACTGATAATTTAAGCAATTCGTGCAAAATTACTCCCTAAACATTCCAAAATATCAAAAATGCACGACGTTAATATTCAAGTCTTCACTTCTGCCGGCACTCCCGGAGTGCAACCCGACGGTTTTTTTTAGATATAAACATATTTAGGGCTATTATCATATCATAAGAGTTGCACTGTATTTCTTTGTATAAAAATAATCTTACATGACTTCCGCAAAAGAAAGAGTGAAATTTTTTCAAGATTCATTTAAATTTGTTTATTTATAATAACACTATAACGTCTAATTTTGTTATTTTTATTTATAAGTCGTGTTGATTTATTTATTTGTGGAAAAATAACAGTACCGTTAGCACAAACCAATATTAAATTCTTAACGTTTGCGAGTCCGAAATGTCATTGTCAAATGCGTACTGATTTTTAGTTGTCGTTACGTACTTTGTTGGCGCTTCTGTTCAAGTTTCCATACAAAATTTGATATTGACATTTAGTACTCGTAAACTATTCAAATACGATAATGTTTTGTGCTAGGTGTACAGATTAATATCAACCGTTTCTGCGCAAATTGAGCCGACCAAGTTCATCAGTAAACATTTTCACTTGTCAGATCATCGTCGCCTGCCCACTCGTCTTCTTCGGAACGCGTCCGTCGTCTGCGGCACGACAACGAGCAGCTGCAGCTGCAGCTCAACCACCTGCAGCTGCGGCTCGCCGACAAGGACGCGCTCATAGCTGAACTGAACAGGTGTCCATACACTGCACTACACTCACACTGTCTGCTGCACACAACGAGCAGCTGCAGCTGCAGCTCAACCACCTGCAGCTGCGGCTCGCCGACAAGGACGCGCTCATAGCTGAACTGAACAGGTGTCCATACACTGCACTACACTCACACTGTCTGCTGCACACAACGAGCAGCTGCAGCTGCAGCTCAACCACCTGCAGCTGCGGCTCGCCGACAAGGACGCGCTCATAGCTGAACTGAACAGGTGTCCATACACTGCACTACACTCACACTGTCCTGCTGCACACAACGAGCAGCTGCAGCTGCAGCTCAACCACCTGCAGCTGCGGCTCGCCGACAAGGACGCGCTCATAGCTGAACTGAACAGGTGTCCATACACTGCACTACACTCACACTGTCTGCTGCACACAACGAGCAGCTGCAGCTGCAGCTCAACCACCTGCAGCTGCGGCTCGCCGACAAGGACGCGCTCATAGCTGAACTGAACAGGTGTCCATACACTGCACTACACTCACACTGTCTGCTGCACACAACGAGCAGCTGCAGCTGCAGCTCAACCACCTGCAGCTGCGGCTCGCCGACAAGGACGCGCTCATAGCTGAACTGAACAGGTGTCCATACACTGCACTACACTCACACTGTCTGCTGCACACAACGAGCAGCTGCAGCTGCAGCTCAACCACCTGCAGCTGCGGCTCGCCGACAAGGACGCGCTCATAGCTGAACTGAACAGGTGTCCATACACTGCACTACACTCACACTGTCTGCTGCACACAACGAGCAGCTGCAGCTGCAGCTCAACCACCTGCAGCTGCGGCTCGCCGACAAGGACGCGCTCATAGCTGAACTGAACAGGTGTCCATACACTGCACTACACTCACACTGTCTGCTGCACACAACGAGCAGCTGCAGCTGCAGCTCAACCACCTGCAGCTGCGGCTCGCCGACAAGGACGCGCTCATAGCTGAACTGAACAGGTGTCCATACACTGCACTACACTCACACTGTCTGCTGCACACAACGAGCAGCTGCAGCTGCAGCTCAACCACCTGCAGCTGCGGCTCGCCGACAAGGACGCGCTCATAGCTGAACTGAACAGGTGTCCATACACTGCACTACACTCACACTGTCTGCTGCACACAACGAGCAGCTGCAGCTGCAGCTCAACCACCTGCAGCTGCGGCTCGCCGACAAGGACGCGCTCATAGCTGAACTGAACAGGTGTCCATACACTGCACTACACTCACACTGTCTGCTGCACACAACGAGCAGCTGCAGCTGCAGCTCAACCACCTGCAGCTGCGGCTCGCCGACAAGGACGCGCTCATAGCTGAACTGAACAGGTGTCCATACACTGCACTACACTCACACTGTCTGCTGCACACAACGAGCAGCTGCAGCTGCAGCTCAACCACCTGCAGCTGCGGCTCGCCGACAAGGACGCGCTCATAGCTGAACTGAACAGGTGTCCATACACTGCACTACACTCACACTGTCTGCTGCACACAACGAGCAGCTGCAGCTGCAGCTCAACCACCTGCAGCTGCGGCTCGCCGACAAGGACGCGCTCATAGCTGAACTGAACAGGTGTCCATACACTGCACTACACTCACACTGTCTGCTGCACACAACGAGCAGCTGCAGCTGCAGCTCAACCACCTGCAGCTGCGGCTCGCCGACAAGGACGCGCTCATAGCTGAACTGAACAGGTGTCCATACACTGCACTACACTCACACTGTCTGCTGCACACAACGAGCAGCTGCAGCTGCAGCTCAACCACCTGCAGCTGCGGCTCGCCGACAAGGACGCGCTCATAGCTGAACTGAACAGGTGTCCATACACTGCACTACACTCACACTGTCTGCTGCACACAACGAGCAGCTGCAGCTGCAGCTCAACCACCTGCAGCTGCGGCTCGCCGACAAGGACGCGCTCATAGCTGAACTGAACAGGTGTCCATACACTGCACTACACTCACACTGTCTGCTGCACACAACGAGCAGCTGCAGCTGCAGCTCAACCACCTGCAGCTGCGGCTCGCCGACAAGGACGCGCTCATAGCTGAACTGAACAGGTGTCCATACACTGCACTACACTCACACTGTCTGCTGCACACAACGAGCAGCTGCAGCTGCAGCTCAACCACCTGCAGCTGCGGCTCGCCGACAAGGACGCGCTCATAGCTGAACTGAACAGGTGTCCATACACTGCACTACACTCACACTGTCTGCTGCACACAACGAGCAGCTGCAGCTGCAGCTCAACCACCTGCAGCTGCGGCTCGCCGACAAGGACGCGCTCATAGCTGAACTGAACAGGTGTCCATACACTGCACTACACTCACACTGTCTGCTGCACACAACGAGCAGCTGCAGCTGCAGCTCAACCACCTGCAGCTGCGGCTCGCCGACAAGGACGCGCTCATAGCTGAACTGAACAGGTGTCCATACACTGCACTACACTCACACTGTCTGCTGCACACAACGAGCAGCTGCAGCTGCAGCTCAACCACCTGCAGCTGCGGCTCGCCGACAAGGACGCGCTCATAGCTGAACTGAACAGGTGTCCATACACTGCACTACACTCACACTGTCTGCTGCACACAACGAGCAGCTGCAGCTGCAGCTCAACCACCTGCAGCTGCGGCTCGCCGACAAGGACGCGCTCATAGCTGAACTGAACAGGTGTCCATACACTGCACTACACTCACACTGTCTGCTGCACACAACGAGCAGCTGCAGCTGCAGCTCAACCACCTGCAGCTGCGGCTCGCCGACAAGGACGCGCTCATAGCTGAACTGAACAGGTGTCCATACACTGCACTACACTCACACTGTCTGCTGCACACAACGAGCAGCTGCAGCTGCAGCTCAACCACCTGCAGCTGCGGCTCGCCGACAAGGACGCGCTCATAGCTGAACTGAACAGGTGTCCATACACTGCACTACACTCACACTGTCTGCTGCACACAACGAGCAGCTGCAGCTGCAGCTCAACCACCTGCAGCTGCGGCTCGCCGACAAGGACGCGCTCATAGCTGAACTGAACAGGTGTCCATACACTGCACTACACTCACACTGTCTGCTGCACACAACGAGCAGCTGCAGCTGCAGCTCAACCACCTGCAGCTGCGGCTCGCCGACAAGGACGCGCTCATAGCTGAACTGAACAGGTGTCCATACACTGCACTACACTCACACTGTCTGCTGCACACAACGAGCAGCTGCAGCTGCAGCTCAACCACCTGCAGCTGCGGCTCGCCGACAAGGACGCGCTCATAGCTGAACTGAACAGGTGTCCATACACTGCACTACACTCACACTGTCTGCTGCACACAACGAGCAGCTGCAGCTGCAGCTCAACCACCTGCAGCTGCGGCTCGCCGACAAGGACGCGCTCATAGCTGAACTGAACAGGTGTCCATACACTGCACTACACTCACACTGTCTGCTGCACACAACGAGCAGCTGCAGCTGCAGCTCAACCACCTGCAGCTGCGGCTCGCCGACAAGGACGCGCTCATAGCTGAACTGAACAGGTGTCCATACACTGCACTACACTCACACTGTCTGCTGCACACAACGAGCAGCTGCAGCTGCAGCTCAACCACCTGCAGCTGCGGCTCGCCGACAAGGACGCGCTCATAGCTGAACTGAACAGGTGTCCATACACTGCACTACACTCACACTGTCTGCTGCACACAACGAGCAGCTGCAGCTGCAGCTCAACCACCTGCAGCTGCGGCTCGCCGACAAGGACGCGCTCATAGCTGAACTGAACAGGTGTCCATACACTGCACTACACTCACACTGTCTGCTGCACACAACGAGCAGCTGCAGCTGCAGCTCAACCACCTGCAGCTGCGGCTCGCCGACAAGGACGCGCTCATAGCTGAACTGAACAGGTGTCCATACACTGCACTACACTCACACTGTCTGCTGCACACAACGAGCAGCTGCAGCTGCAGCTCAACCACCTGCAGCTGCGGCTCGCCGACAAGGACGCGCTCATAGCTGAACTGAACAGGTGTCCATACACTGCACTACACTCACACTGTCTGCTGCACACAACGAGCAGCTGCAGCTGCAGCTCAACCACCTGCAGCTGCGGCTCGCCGACAAGGACGCGCTCATAGCTGAACTGAACAGGTGTCCATACACTGCACTACACTCACACTGTCTGCTGCACACAACGAGCAGCTGCAGCTGCAGCTCAACCACCTGCAGCTGCGGCTCGCCGACAAGGACGCGCTCATAGCTGAACTGAACAGGTGTCCATACACTGCACTACACTCACACTGTCTGCTGCACACAACGAGCAGCTGCAGCTGCAGCTCAACCACCTGCAGCTGCGGCTCGCCGACAAGGACGCGCTCATAGCTGAACTGAACAGGTGTCCATACACTGCACTACACTCACACTGTCTGCTGCACACAACGAGCAGCTGCAGCTGCAGCTCAACCACCTGCAGCTGCGGCTCGCCGACAAGGACGCGCTCATAGCTGAACTGAACAGGTGTCCATACACTGCACTACACTCACACTGTCTGCTGCACACAACGAGCAGCTGCAGCTGCAGCTCAACCACCTGCAGCTGCGGCTCGCCGACAAGGACGCGCTCATAGCTGAACTGAACAGGTGTCCATACACTGCACTACACTCACACTGTCTGCTGCACACAACGAGCAGCTGCAGCTGCAGCTCAACCACCTGCAGCTGCGGCTCGCCGACAAGGACGCGCTCATAGCTGAACTGAACAGGTGTCCATACACTGCACTACACTCACACTGTCTGCTGCACACAACGAGCAGCTGCAGCTGCAGCTCAACCACCTGCAGCTGCGGCTCGCCGACAAGGACGCGCTCATAGCTGAACTGAACAGGTGTCCATACACTGCACTACACTCACACTGTCTGCTGCACACAACGAGCAGCTGCAGCTGCAGCTCAACCACCTGCAGCTGCGGCTCGCCGACAAGGACGCGCTCATAGCTGAACTGAACAGGTGTCCATACACTGCACTACACTCACACTGTCTGCTGCACACAACGAGCAGCTGCAGCTGCAGCTCAACCACCTGCAGCTGCGGCTCGCCGACAAGGACGCGCTCATAGCTGAACTGAACAGGTGTCCATACACTGCACTACACTCACACTGTCTGCTGCACACAACGAGCAGCTGCAGCTGCAGCTCAACCACCTGCAGCTGCGGCTCGCCGACAAGGACGCGCTCATAGCTGAACTGAACAGGTGTCCATACACTGCACTACACTCACACTGTCTGCTGCACACAACGAGCAGCTGGTCGCTTTAGCGACCAACTTCATGTGCCGCGCTGCCATTACCGCGTCGCCCGCCGCACCGTACGCATGCGCGGCCACTCGCGGTCCTAGCGCGGGAAACACGTACAACAAACATCGGGAAAAGTTACGAGTTTTGAATTTAGAACAGAGACTGTTTTCATATCTATATATATAAAAATGAAACCCGTTTTCCGTTGTCACGACATAACATGAAAACGGCTTGACCGATTTGGCTGTTTTTTTTTGTAGTTTTCTAATACTCTGTACAAGGTTCTTACGGAAAAAAATATAAAGAAAATCCCAAGGGGATAAAATAAGGAATGAAAGTTTGTATGAAACTTTATCAATTTTAAACCGATCGGGCTGAGACTTTGCATGCAGGTATAAGAAGAATCATAGATGAATGTCATTGTGTATAATACAAGCCTGAGAACAAAAACTGTAGTCTACACTTCAGCTCTACACCGAAGCGAAGCGAGGGCGGGCCGCTAGTTTATAATATTTATCCACATGTTTCTAGTTTGTATATTCGGAATACGTGTTTGAGTTTCATACAAGTGCAAATCACATATGTTCTAATAAATTATATTCAGTAGCGATTTTAATTGAATATTTTGATTATTAATTAATTTTTTGAAATTAAAACTGAACTTTATTGACTGTGTCCCTTTCCAGACTTTTTATTAATTTATTGTAATTAATTATTTGCATGCAATTAAAAACTAATTTTAAACGATGCCAAAGAAGGATAACTTCTCACGCGCCTACATAAGTACACGCACCCATTTTTTTGTAAATAAACAATGTAATTAGGAACGAAATTGTTTCTCATGTGACTGCGTCATTACTATTGCGGTTGTCAGCGAGTGTTTTCCTCGCTTCTGGCAGATGGCGCGGTCACTGTTACACAGCTGATCGTTAAAAAAACTGTTTTCTCGCGGTCGCAGATATGTGACTGATGCAAATAATAGATAAAAACAATCCTTGATGCGGATTTTATATCATGTTAAAATTTCAACTCAATCGGTGCAGAACTTTTTGAGTTTTTGAAGCGTACACAAACCAACATAACATTTATATATATATAGATACTTACATAAATGTATCATTATATCCCTAGTATCCCATAACACAAGCATAGAACTTACTTTGGTCCTAGGCTAATTGGTATAAGTGTTGGAAATATTTCATCATCATCAGCCTATTAATGTCCCCACTGCTGGAGCACAGGCCTTCCCTATTGATGGAATAGGAAGATTGGGCCATGACCCACCACGAGGGCCCAGTGTAGATTGGTGGATGCTAACGACTGCAGATGCAACCGGGACCAACGGCTTAACGTGCCATCCGAAGTACGGAGGAACTCGAGATAGAAGATTTTGGTCACCCATCCAATGACCGACCACTGCGAAAGTTGCTTAACTTCAACGAGCGCAGCCGAACGGGCTAACCACCTGCGCCATCGAGCTCCTCCCAATTTTATTATTGCTGTTTAATGTAATGATAATAATATATGATTTTTAAACTATGAAGTACCTTCTTTTCTAGTACCATGAACTAATAAATAAATATAAAAAGATCCAGGAGATTTTTTTTATATTTATTTTAAATAAAAAAAAATGTCCTGCTGATATTAAAGTGGCTGCTTGCTCCCAGGATCAGAGACAAGCTGACCAACGAGTGGCAAACCAGTCAATTGCGATACGAAACGGAAAGAGACAACGCTGCCCGCCTGCAGCTACTACTCGCCGCGCATAAGGACACCGCTGATACCCTACAGGTATGCATTATTGATGATTCTGACATAGAACAGGAGGCCTACTCTATTTCAACGAAAAACGAAATTTCGATCGTAATTTCGCACGTTCCTTACTCTGTTTCTATTTCGTTTCGAAAATTCGTTCGTCCGAAAATAGTTTGACATTTAATTTCTCTAAGCCTACTCTAATTCACAAAACTTTTGAACTAAAAGTTGAATTTGACAGATGATTGTTCGAAATTTTAACCTCAATTTGACGAAATGAAAAGTGTTACCTTTCATTTTCGTTTTGGGTTTTTTGTTTACATTAAACCTAGAATTACTAGTGAGTATTTTTAATTAAGTCTGCTTAGCGCGAGGAACATCTTTTAGTATGAAAAATTTACAAATAAATCTAATTTTTGTTTATTATTGTATTGCCAATACTTCAAAGTATTACACGACAAATTTAGGTTGACATACATTCGATTGCATCAACTCTACAAATTAGTCGGCTTACACTTACAAAAGAGTTGGTTTTAATGTAATTAAAAATGTTGTCATAATGTAATATTGTTTTGAAGTAAAAAACATTATCTAAAAAGTGTTGACAAAAAGAACTCACAAACATAACTCATTCCATTCGTTCACGATAATTGTCTGTGATTCTGAACTTTATGTGCAAGTTCGAAGATGAAATAGAGTAGAGTCACTGGCGGTATTTCGTTTAAAATTCGTTCGTTACCGAAATTTCGTTTCGGAGAAAGAGAGTAGAACTCCAGGAACGCAGGACATTGGCAGAGCGGGGGTACATGTTGGCACATAGGTTTGCACGCTGCACAGCTGTTGTTAAATTGACGCTTGTTAAAGCATACTGTTAAATTTTTTATGCATGAAGCCTATAAACCACCTTAACTAAAAGTGCCTACAATGCCCTTACAGTTATGTATAATAACATATTCAGGGCTTTGTTTCGACTTTCACGCTACTGTAGTGCATCTGGCATGTTTGCGGATGTAAGCTCTGATGGAGTTTTGTGCTATAATGCGTAAAAAAGTTGCAACACTGGTGCATTGGCTGCGGGGAGGTTGTGACAGAGTCCTGAGTATGTAAGCAAATAGAATGGACTCCCCTCTGCTCGGTCAGTTCATCAAACTACATATCTGGTGACCAGGCTGAGGGGAGGGTGCAGTAAAATGAATAAATTTTAATTTTTTATTCAAAAGAGCGTACAATGAGTCAATTTCATTTCATTTATTTATTTACTTATTTAATAATTTATTGTACACGAAATAAAAATACATAAAAAATACTTAAATAATCTCTTCCAGCCCACCTGCGATAGGAGCTATGCTGGGAGACATAAATGTCGCGTGTACCTACACTCAAACATATTAATCAAAAAATATAAAATAAATGCATATCAACTATATGAATAAAAATATATAAACAATATATAATAAATACATAAACATATACAAATAAATATATAAATGAACACACAAGAAGTTTCGATAGGGAAAAAAATCAACAGAGAAGAAAAAATACAAAAAAATTATGTCAAGGACAGATAATATTCCTTGACTGTTTTTTTTTAAAAGCGGAAGTGTTGTTCATCTAATTTTTTCGAGTTGTTTGTCTGTTTTCTCCCCTAACTTTGGGCCCCTAATAAAACATGTGATTTATACTCGGCCACGTTTCTCAGAACCAAGACTCGAGCATGATTCAAATGCTGAAGCAGCGCCTGGAAAGCGGCATGGCCTCGGAGCTGGAGCTGCAGCAGCAGCTGCACCACGCGCGCAACCACCTCGCGCAGCTGCAGCGGGACCTGCACCACACCACGGGGGACGAGTCTTTGAAGACTCAGTTACATCACGAGGTCAGTACATAGATACCGAGTAACTGCGGGTTACTTTGACCTAAAATGTGCACTTTTTTTTCAAAGAAATTTGTAGCTTCTCTTTGTGTACAATATGTCACGTTTATATCTTTCCATTGTGAACTTTAAAGTATAAGTTACAAAGTTATCATACGAAAATAGGAAAAAATAATATTTAAGGGTTCATAAATATTTTTTTAATTTTGGGCCAAAGTTGGCCTTAAAGAGGGTTACTATAGCTCCTTGAGTTTTCTCTGTGAAAAAACTCATTTTAAGCCATGTTGGGGTTCAGTAACCCTTATAACAGATCACTTTTAGCATACTGTATACACAAATGGATGTTTTTACCCAAAAATAATTAAGTTAAAGAAAAAATTGTAAACTTACCGAAAACCACAGTTTTGAGAAAGTTTGCGCATGAACTTGCGAACTATTTCAGTTACAAAAAATCCCGCGTTACAATGACAACTTGATACAGGAACGATGTCGGTAAAACAACACCACACTACGCGCCTATATGGCTATCTGTGATTTTCAACTGGTAATATTACGGTTACCCAAGAGATACCGATGGGGCGGCAAGTTCAATATTTTTTCTGATTTTTGACACAAGATTACCCGCCCGAGCTAAAGTAACTCTCACTTACGGTAGATGGATAAAAAAACGAGCGAGCCTTACGTATGATGTGTAACATTTGAAACCTAAACTTGTATTAGTAAAAAAAGAAATAAAACCTCCTACAAAAGGAATAAGCCATTTGAACATTAATATAATATTAATAGAAAAACTAAAATTAAATCAAATAGCGCGCGCTTCCCAAACTTCTTGTTACACACTTCCGTCTCCGATCCGTCCAGTGGTTTGGGCTGTGCGTTGATAGATCACTATGTCAGTCGGTCACCTTTGAGTTTTATATATATATAGATCAGGAGCTCGATGTCGCGGGTGGCTAGCAGTGGCCGGTCATTGGATGAGTGACCAAAATTCTTCTATCTCTCATTCCTCCGTGCTTCGGAAGGCACGTTAAGCCGTCGGTCCCGGCTGAATGTACAGTCTTTAGCACCCGCCAATCCGCACTGGGCGCGCGGCCAATCTTCCAATTCCATCCATAGGGAAAGCCTGTTCCCCAGCAATGGGATGATGAAAGATTAGCCTTGTCAATAATAACTTATTCCCAATAGTGAGTATGACATATGATCCCTGGCACACCGAAGAGAGTGTAGAGACTTAGCCTTGTTTCACAAGGTTATAAATGGTCTTGTCGATTTTCCATATCTGTTGAGTAAAATTTTGCTAAAATGTCCAAGAGCAAATCTACGAGCACGTGATAAGTTTTGCATTTCGGCGGGTTGGACTAATTATGCAAGTGCTACATTGTGCGAGCTATGAAATCATAAATATAATCGCATTGATATATTTTTAATCTTATTTCTTTGAAATTCAAAAAACTAATTTGTAATTGGTTTTAGCCCCAACATTTTTATTTATTTTTATTTCGTTTATGTTCATTGTGATGTCATAAATTGTTTCTTTTTTATGTCATGTTTATTAGACACCGATGTCGATTCTGGCATGATTTTCTAAAGCTAAACTTAAATTTGACAGCAGTGTATCTTTGTCATTCTCTATACAAAATGAAAAGGACAGACTGATGTTAAATTTAGTTTTAAGTTTAAAGAATCCTGCCAGAATCGACACCACTGTGTGAGATAAATAATAATGGAAATTATGTGGGCAATTGTTTAAACTTAAGGTTATATTTTTTGTGTAAAAATTAATTCTGTTGTTTCCCTAAAAATAAATAAATAAATAACATATTTGTTACTTAGGTTTTCACGCACATCACTCATTAAATAAAACTAGTTTTTGCGGGTTAACGCACGAAACTTTATTTATTTATTAACGTTTCGTAGCCTTTACAGGCTTCGTCGTCAGAATAAAACTTTTATTTAATTTGTCGAGCTACCTTCGAAAGACTTTTATTGAGCGTTTGGTTATTTCATTGTTCGATTTTTAAGTTTTATTGTCTATGTATGAATTTATTATTTAATTTACTTAATAAGGTATTTTATTTAAAATCGTCGTCGTCGTCTTTCGAAGGTAGCTCGACAAATTAAATAAAAGTTTGATATTCTGACGACGTTTTATTTAAACAAATAACAGTTGGAGAACAGCGAGCGGTTACGCAGCGAGATTTCCGTACTGAAATGCAAATTGGAAGTTGAAAGGACGCGCGCCCAAGATGCCGACGCGGCGCTACAACACGCGCGCGCGAGACATCAGCGCGCCCAACAAAATGCCAAGCACAACGCCGACACGTGGCAACAACACCTCGCCGATGCTAATAGGTATGTACTGCGACCATATTTATTACCAGGGCTTGTTTACCGGTTAATTTGCAAACCTAAATCAGTGTCGAGTACATTAGGAGCGTTTTATCGGAACGATGTTCCTTACGGCAGCCTTGGAGGGGATAGAGATTTTGCTGCGCGACCGAACTGAAAAAAATGTGATAGTAAAACCGTAAGAAAAAATCCGTGGAAAAAAGTGCGTGGAATAAAACCGTTAAATGAGACGTGCGCAGGCGCGACAGTCGCATACACAAGCGAGTAGTGTATAATACCTTTCTCTTTCTCCCTCTTTCTTTTCGTTCTCTCATTCCTACATTAGCCGAAGGAACTTCGTTCCTACCTGGTGTCCCACGACACCACATCATTTTTTTAGGTTTGGCTCTACCTTAACCTTAAAAAAACGGTTATTCTAAAAAGCGAAATCAAATAGGTTTTGAATCAATTTAGCGGTTTTTAAAGGGTTTCATTTCGCTCTTACTAACGGCACCGATAATAAATGAATAACTTGACTCACTAAACGCTAGCAATAAATGCATCAATCTCTGAGCATTAACAAGTTGTGACTTGATTAGTTCAAACAAAACAAACTTCAAGCGATGCCGACGCATGCACGTGTCGTTCTGGATTAAACCGGTTTATTAAGGTTTTAAGTACCGCTTTCATTTCGAAACCTTTACAAAAACCGGTATTAACCTTTTTTACTGGTATTTTCGAAACCGGTTTCAAGCCCTGTTTATTACCATGATTATTGAAATGAAACTTCTTTAGGCACGTTTGACTTGGGGGGTAAACTGGCGAATGTGTGACGATTTTTGCGTTACGCGCGTACCGGTGACTCGTCGGTAAACAATGACCAATACCCGTCACAAAATACATGAATCTAATGCTTGGTGAGTGATAACGGACCCAGTGCAGATTGGTGTGTGAGAACGGACCCAGTGCGGATTGGTTGATGATAATGGCCCCAGTGTTGATTGATGGATGAGAACGGACCCAGTGCGGATTGGTTGGTGATAATGGACCCAGTTCAGATTGGTAGATGATAACGGACCCAGTGCGGATTGGTGGGTGATAATGTACCCAGCGCGCATTGATGGGTGATAATGGACCCAGTGCGGATTGCAGGGTGATAACAGACTCAGCGCGGATTGGTGGTTTTTTTTTATATCAACAAATCTTCAGGTTAAGTTTATGATTTTCGGATCATTGGAGCTAAAGAAGTTTCACTTCAGTCGTGTGGTCATAAAGCACACTCGGGTTTTTTATAGATAGGTTCGACAAATGACTCCACCCCACCTGATGTTAAGTGAAGGTGAAGTCCAGACGCGAAGATATCTGATACAGCAGTTCTACCTGCCACACCAGCCATCCTCACCCTGCCGGCCTGCATGTTGCTTCTTCACGCCTCTTTTAAAGGATCCCAGGTGTAAGAGGGAGGGAACACGTGAGCGGGCAGAGCATTCCATTTACGGATAGTGCGACAAAGAAATGAGTCACTTAACTTCTTTGTACGCGTTGGAATTGTGGCCACAGTCGGTGACAACGAAGGCCAGCACGCGTGGTTGGAAGGTGGAATAAGGGAGAATAACTCCTCAGAACACTCGCCGTGGTACAGACGATAGAACGCGCTCAATGAGGGCTATCGCTGAAACCGCCGCTAGAGGCGCTTGTATTGCGTGAGGTCTCCGAAATGTCAAATGTTATAGCTTTGTGGGTCGACTACGCGGTTTTTTACTAATTAAAATAATAGTTGTAATATTTGGTAATAAATCAGACTTATTATGGCAAATATGAGTTACGTGTCAATGAGTCAGTTATTTAAAAGCGGAGCTAAGAAAAAACATTGTCCTTCTTTTTTCCGAACAAAACGGGACTGCGCAACACTGTGGCATGGGCGATTATGTTTAAGATACGATTCTTTTGTATTAAAATGTAAACTTTGATATCACGAGCGTGTTTACTAACTTTAAAAGCTACACTTCAGGACCTCACTCAACAGTGGCGCCATCTGGTGAGACAAAAAACGGTAGCCCTCATTATCTGCCAGTTTGCGTTAGCGTTATAATCAGGAGTGATATAGCCAAAAGAAAGTTTGATGAAGATAATGTGAACGGTCGAGTGATTAGGGCGGTGAAAACTGACACACAAACACATATGCCGTTTCTTGTAAAATATCAGATCCAATCCATCAAAATTTGCACTTGCGCCATCGAGCTCCTCAGTAATACATATCTCTTATCTATTAGACAAGTCCGTCCGTCCGTCTGTCTGTGGTGCTGTTTCAGCGGCCAAACCGTAAGAGATAGATAAAGAGAATGTTTAAGTTATAAGTTAAGAATAGTCTGATAAGACTACAAACCGGATTTGAGTAACGTAGCACTTCCGGTTTTCGAGAAATCACGAATTTCAAACGAAACCACACAAAATCTCCGAAGTTCTCAATTAATTAAATACATTTTTTTTTAAATCAGGTTTTGGTGAACATTTGGTTCACTGGTTTGCTAGTATTATTTAATATTTATAGTTTAGCGTGCGAACGCTCATCGGAATATTTTGATTGATTTATAGTTTTTTTAGAATATCTGAAGCGAATTATTTTAATATCTCTTCAGGTTCACCTCAGTATCTATAACTATAATCACATCTCAGTATTAAACAACTTATTTATCTCTTGTTTATGACAAGGCAAATGAAAATAAGTGTGTATTTTTCCCGTTTTCCTTAGAATGCGGGTAATATATATTAGTTTCAAGTCAACACACGTTCAAAAGAATATACACCTCGTACATGCATATGAGAGAGCTCGATGGCGGTGGTTAGCGCGTTCGGCTACGATCGTTGAAGTTAAGCAACTTTCGCAGTGGTCGGTCATTGGATGGGTGACCAAAAATTTCTATCTGGAGTTCCTCCGTGCTTCAGAAGGCACGTTAAGCCGTTGGTCCCGATTGCACCTGCAGTCGTTAGCGCCCGTCAATCCGCACTGGGCCCGCATGGTGGATTATGGCCCAATCTCCCTATTCCATCCATAGGGAAGGCCTGTGCCCCAGCAGTGGGGACATTAATAGGATGATGATGATGAATTTTATATGCTCGTGACAGGTTAAAACACGAAGCGGGCGTAGAATTACTGCGTGCCAAGGAATTGTTGAACATACAGAGTGAAACCATTACCGAACTCGAGAAGAAACTCAACCTGGCTGCTAAACAGAGGTCGTACGGAGGAGATACCCTGGTGAGTCTTTGATGATCATTATTATTCGCGATAACGGTGTCAAGTAACGTTGAGTACACTAGCTCACTTTTATTTTTTTCGTTATAAAAGTAATATTTTTGACTAATAGTGTATTTTTTTATATTGTTATTTTAAGCAATTAACTGTTAAAATAGCGGAAAGACCTTTGAGACCTGATTGTGCCAAATAAAAAAAAAACAAAAAAGTTTATAGTTATAATTTTTATTTTTTTAAAGCATATAACTGCTTGATGTTTCAATCCAAAAAAAATATAACTAGAAAAAATTCCACGTGGACCAGGCAGCAGACGGGACTCGAACCCGCACCCTTCGCAATCCGGGCGAATGCACTGGCCAATTATGCTACCGCGGCCCTTCTTACTATACCACATTGTTACCAAAAAAGTTTATTACTATACCACATTGGTTTTACACCAAACCAGGGTGGGTTCCTTCTGAAATGAAATTAAATAAAATGAAAAGTCATTTATTCAGTCTAGGCTGTTATAAGCACTTGTTCAAGAAGCTACGCCATCGGTTCGCAAATCTACGGCGGGAGACCTTACTCCTACTACTACTGAGGTACTGAGAAGAACCGGCAAGAAACTCAGAAAGGGCTGTCTTTTTCTCCCTGTATTGTTATATACAGAGTCATCAAGTTGAAAAATGACTTCAGAGATACGTCTGAATTCACCTTCCATTACATCATTTAGAATATAAATATATGCTTACAATAAATTTTATAGTTAACATTATATTTAGTATATAGGAAGCGGCATTAGATTCTATTAAGTGTTTAACACCTGTACCAGAAGGAACCACTCTTCCATAGCATTAATATTATATCTTATGGTAAGGTCTTAATTTCATTTTATTAGATTTTTGATATCTGGAACGTGCGGCAATTTTCCTAGTAATATTTTGTGTAGGCTAATAAATAACGTAATCTCTAAATAAAAACGAGTATGCTAATGACCACACGACTGAAGTGAAACTACTTTTCATTTACTAGCTATAAGAGAAAGAGAGAAAGAAAATTTGCGCGCGCACTGTATTCTCTTGCGTATATCCCCCCACACAACTCCCATTTGCCTCGCACGAACACACTTTTCGTAATGCGTAACGCATACTCCCCAACGTGTATAGTCAAGCGTGCGAGTTTCACTTCAAAATTGTCGCATCATTTCGTAGACGGAGATGGAGCGACAGCGAAGCGAGATGGCGCGAGAGATCGCCACCCTCAGGAAGAGCCTGGCCGACGCGGCATCGAACCCGCAACCCGACCGCGACCAGGCCGTGAGTATATCACACTATAAGCAAAATCTGATGTTACCTGTATAAATATATATATTTTATTTAATCTGTTTTTAGTATTATTTGTTATAGCGGCAACAGAAATACATTATTTGTACAAATTTTCTAGCTATCACGGTTTTTGAGATACAGCTAGCAAACTGACAGACGGACAGATTTGTGTTTGAACAAACAACTTCTAGCGATATTTAGTTTCCAAGTGAGGAGAAGCAAACAATCCTACCCTCCATTTTTTTGTGTATGAAAGCAAATATATCGATGAGATTATGAATCTATTTTAACAGTGAACAGACAGTCACTGTATATAGCGTAGTATAAGATACATTTTAATCCCAATAGCATGCAGTGGTCAGGTCATACTACTGAGGCTGAAATATATCTTGTGCGAAAAAGTTTCTGTCGAATCCTAAGAAATACATCCAAGTATCCTATAGCGGATACTTGAAACATACGATAGCGACGGTTATTTATTTTCGAAAAGGCATTTGAAATGAATATTCAGACTTTCAACTTTCTATTATTAACAATTTCAATGAGTTTTCAAGTTTTTTATACAGCTTTTAACTATATTAAATCTCTTTCTTATGTGATTTGCAGTTTTATTTAGTTTAAGATTAAAAATGGTGTCGATTCTGGCACGATTATCTAAACCTAAACTTAGATTTGACAACAGTCTATCTTTGTCTTTCTGTATACGGATTGAAAAGGAGAGACTGATTTTAAATTTAGTTTTAAGTTTAGAGAATCGTGCTAGAATCGACACCAATGTATGTATAAAAAATATATACTAATTATTAGGCGCACACGACCATACAGTCGTTTGGAGAAGCTACTATTAGAAGCGACTATTGTAGCAACAAATTTAATACTGCAACCAATTTGATGATATTATTTGTTATTTTAGGCATTAATCTGCTAGATTTACAAATCTATTGAAAATAATAATAGGAAAAATTCGTTTGGTTCTGGCTCCAGACAAGATTGGAACGTGTATCTTCCGCTATACGGGCGGTAACGTTAATAGGATAATTGGTTAGTGTATCCGCCTGGGTAGGGGAAAGTGCTGGTTCGAAAACTGTCTGATGCCAGGTCCGAGTTCTTTACTTTTTCTAATAAGTTTTTTCTCAGCTTGATGAATACTACTCATAGTCCAGTCATTACGTCGGAAAAATCGGGTTAGAAATGCAAATGAACCGAGAAAGCCAAATTTTGGATATTACGTGGGGGGTGGCTAGAAAAGCTTAAGTTCAAATTGTCGACCAAAAAAACCTTGTGGGTTTTCCGCCATCTTGAAAAAAGGGTTAAACTCAGTTTTTTTATCATAACTCGGTTCCCCGTCGAGATACGAAAATTTTTATAGAATACTTTTTTGTTACTCTTTGTACGATCTACAATTAAGGTCCTATACATATTTCACGTATCGACCATCGTTGTCGAGATATTGATAAAAAAAGCCACAAATTTTGGGAGAAATTTTTTTTTTCGCTATTTCCTTCTTTCTCACGAAAAATACCGAAAAATGTTTCGAATAAAACTTGTAGAGCCTGTTCAGACCTACAAATTCGTTTTTAATTTTTAATTTTCGAGAAAAATTACGACCTCCAGCGCGCCGCAAAGTCGGCGCCAATGCGCCCGACGCCGGAATGTGCGTCGCGCCATGGCGGACGTGCGACGGTTGGAGTGTCGGCCCTTTTTTGGTGTACGTGCCGGAACATCTGCTCCTTCTCGTAGAACATTCCAGTCAGTTGTCTCGAGTCTTTTGAAGCGAGCGTACGTGTTGAAAAATTTGTGTGAAAATGGGTGATTGTTTTATATGCAAAAAACCTCTCATTGAAAATGTTTATGTGGCTAAAAAGAGAGCTGTACAGACTCTTTTAGCGGCGAGCGTGAAAAGAGGACGTGTGGATCATCAGCAGATTTTACAAGATCTTGATTCCGTGAGTGTTCATAGTTCGTGCTACAAAAAATATGGAAACCAACGCCTAGCGTCCATTGCTTCTCGACGAAGCGAGTCTCCATCGCAGGAACTAGAACCCGATGAACAACTACAAGTCGTTCCCACTTTTGATTTTAAAAATCGATGCTTATTTTGTGGAGAAATATTTTGCGACGAATCAAGACTCCCAGTGCACAGACGGAAAAAAAATCATTACGTGGTAGAAATATCAATGAATGAAAAAATTATGGGATACTTGTCTGGACGTGACGATGAATTTGCCACTTCCATCATCGAGCGTATTCATGGTATACCTGATCTCGTCGCAGTAGGAGCTCGATACCATAGAACGTGTATTTCTCACGTATATCATGCACTACCTGAGGAGAGGAATAAGAAAGGACGACCTACGGGGGACAAAGTAGACGAGGCGATGGAGGCAATTTACTCCTTTCTGAGAGAAAATTCCGACGAATGTCAATTTTCTATTAGCGAGTTAATGCGCCAAATAAATTATCGATTATATTATATTATTATTATCTTTTTTTATCGATTATCGATGGTAGACATACATACTACGAGAAATCGTTACGATTAGACTGTACAGTCCGAACGGTACCGATAAATCGTAGCGTGTATGTTATAAAACTGAACATTTTCCTATACTTACGCCACGTACGATAAACTGTTATTATCGAAAAAAAAAAATTCTCCCAAAATTTGTGGCTTTTTTTTATCGATATCTCGATAACGATGGTCGATACGCGAAAAATGTATAGGACCTTAATTGTAGATCGTACAAAGAGCAACAAAAAAGTATTCCATAAAAATTTTCGTATCTCGACGGGGAACCGAGTTATGATAAAAAAACTGAGTTTAACCCTTTTTTCAAGATGGCGGAAAACCCACAAGGTTTTTTTGGTCGACAATTTGAACTTAAGCTTTTCTAGCCACCCCCCACGTAATATCCAAAATTTAGCTTTCTCGGTTCATTTGCATTTCCAAATGTATATAATGACTGGACTATCAAATTTGCTGCAGTATTTCGTTGCTATTAACCTTATGTACAGGTTTGCTGCAACGACTTACGTTTAACGTTTTTTTTTTTATTTAATTTTTTTTTTGATAGTGGGTAAAAATATTACCTGTGGGCCTCCCAGGGCACGTATTGGTTGGACCAGGGGTAATAGCCCGTTTTATTACCGGCTTAATAGCAATACAGACCCCCATTTATCTGAACTAAAACTTGATCTCGTGGATTCCAAGAAAGGCACTACTTTAGAATAGAAATAAATGAGACCAAAATTTTTAGTAACTACCCGATAAAGAGTTCTCTAAATTGAAGAAAACAACATAACTTTTCAATTAATGTAATGCGTAAATAAATTACTCAAAAACACAGAATAATAAAATTAGTAAATAAAACTAGTTTGGTAGTTTTACGGTAATTAGGGTCAAATAAATAAACTCAAAATTACAAAAAAGAATTTTAAATAAAATACCTTATTAAGTAAATTAAATAATAAATTCATACATAGACAATAAAACTTAAAAATCGAACAGTGAAAAAACCAAACGCTCAATAAAAGTCTTTCGAAGGTAGCTCGACAAATTAAATAAAAGTTTTATTCTGACGACGAAGCCTGTATAGGCTACGAAACGTCAATAAATAAATAAAGTTTCGTACATTAACCCGTAAAAACTAGTTTTATTTAATGAGTGATGTGCGTGAAAACCTAAGAAACAAATAAAATTAGTGTTTGAGGATAACGTGCAATGGTAGTAAAATTTTTGTATAGTGTGGTCCTCCGGGCAGAGCCCCACCCATATACATACAGCGTAAAATATGCACGTTATACAAGCAGAAGCATAAATTCAAGAAAACCACATTGTGATTCAATAAATGAAAATAAACATCAGTGTTTAAGGATAATCCGTGTTTTGTATAACCTGATCCTAACTCTCGTATATAGACCCGTCTCTCCCAGTGGGCACTTTTGGAAAGCGCCCAGGGCCCTGCGATCGATAGGGGGCCCCCTTCAGATCAAATACAAAGTCCCGAGTTCCTGTTAGATCACCAAACGGGGGTCATAGGGGCCCCATTATCCTAATATGCCCAGGGCCTCCAATAGGTCAAAGACGGCACTGCTCCTATAGCACAAAGCACTTCACCGCCGCGCTGATGGTGAGAGTCGGATCCAAGCAACAAAGTGTCGTTGTGTCTGACACACACATATTGAGTTTGTTTTCAGACTTCTCGTTAACCTTCGTTAACAACATCAATAGTAGGAAACTTTTTTTCCGAGAAGGAAAGGGCCATTTTGGCCATTTTCTTTATAAATAAATGTGCTCATTTTTTCTAAACTACAACTACTCGAGTACATAATCGTGAAATTTCTTAAAGTCAAGAAAACAGAAACAGCGTTTCAAATCGTATAATAAAATAAATAAAAATCTGTCATAAAAACAAATAGATCATTCTAAACAGTGGTATCAGTGTTTGAGTATAGCTTCTGCAATGGTAGTTTCCTCCTGGTAATCCGTATCTTGTATGGGCTGGTCCTCCGGGCACAGTGGGTCGATGGCCCAAGTAGCTGCAGCATGCAGCGCATACGTAGCCCCGTACACAGTATACAATACACCTGTGACGCACGCGCAGGCTATCGGCCACACGCGACCATTCATGTCCAACTGATTGCGCCAGGACTCCTCTGTCCAGCTTCGGAAGTATTGGCACATCTTCCTGCCAAATATAGATCAAATTTTATTTATTAACCGCCACCTTACCGAAGACCACAGTGAAGTAACACTAACTTTTGGTGGTGATGCGGTTCTGTAGGTAAGTGAGGTTCTAGGGCTCCGCGGGGTCGCCGAGCGGGATCGGGAGATGGCCGATCCCGCTCGAAGGAGGCAGCGTCAGGCCAGATAATGGCCTGATGCGCCGTCGCTGGTCGCTGGTGGGCACGACGGAGCTTGTACTCATAGAAGCGACCTGGGAGGGACGACCCCGCATGGCCGGGGGGTTTCGTCGTACGAGGGCTTAAAT